ATGTATGCTGCGCAAAGAAGTTGATATTTCGTTTCTATGACAACTAGAAACACATTTTTATGTTTTGAAAACCCCAAATTAATGATTTGGTAAAAAAAATATATATATATATATAATTGGTCAAATGATCAACACATTGGAAAGATCATTTAGCGTTGACTTATGTTAATGTTACTTTGTACCTTGTAATAATTTTATTAACTTACATGAATGGCGAGACGTTCAAGAACAACTGAAGGAAAACAGTGAGCTTGTCTGAAAGTGGAAAAAAATGAAATGATATGTTTAACATGCCAGAAGTAGATAGTCCCATTCCCTGGTAGCACAAAGAAAGGTAAGCCGCTTTCTGATGGCTATTTTTTTACAGTCGCCAAGTAGCGGGTTCTAGCAATAGTGTTCCCAATTATTCCGAAAAGAGAGTTTTCGGATACCCATTTGTCACATCAGCGTATTCTGATAGTATTGAAACGATAAACAACCAATAGCAATGCACTTGTTTACTTGACAAAATGACACCACACAATTGTTTTCCGAGTTGAGGAGCGAAATAGTACTTAGATTTTTAACAAAACCACCATTGTTTAACTTGTAAAGACTCACACAAAATTATCTTTTCCTAAGAGCAAAACCACACAATGTATGTCACATAGATGACATTTTCCCTAAGGAACATACCACACAATGTCACATTGATCACATTTTCTCTAAGGAACATACCTTACAATGTCATACTGATCACATTTTATCCTATTGTTTCAACTTTTGATTTAAACCAAATGAAGAAACCTTTGATATTAAGACACGCAATATTGATTGCCTTCAAGAAGAAGACACTTACCTGTGAATTTACCACCACTAATATTCTCGCTGCAGTTCCAGCGTACAAATGGGAAGTAGCATATCATCGACAGAGCGGCAAGACACAATGAGAAGATGAACTCCGGCCGTGGTTTGTTTACGATGAAAGGTGCCAAAGTCAGGTAGATCGATCCTAATGTCACTATGAAGGGGATGATGATATTGACCTGGAATATATATATCAAAAGGATTTACAGTCTAATGAGGCGATTGTATTAATGACAAAATTCCTAAAGCTTAAAAACCTGGTATATCTAAAACTCCAGAATTTCGATCATCAAAGTTCAGGGACAGAGCATTTTCCATAAAAGACTCAATTCGACCAATTTTAGATTTTCTTCAGTCGTCTCCTTGGTTTCAAAATTTAAGCCCTTATCAGTACTGAAGTGTCCTAGAAAGACGAAACAGATGTAGGATGCAATTTATTTCATTGTTTGTCTAATTCTGAAGTTGCATTTAAGGTTTCTTTTCAGACGTGTGTCTTTCGTACAATCTTTGACCCCGGGCAGCGCTCCAAAAATACTGTTATATAAACTATGTATGCAAAAATCCGTAGCTTTAATGCTTATAGGCGGAATAAATTCTTACCTTGTATGGTCTATCCAAATGAGGTTTTCGAATCCTCATTATGAGCAGACCACCCACGGCTAGACCATGGAATAACCAAACAGTAAACACCCAGAATCGCACCATCAGGGACACTTCCACCGCTAGGGCAATCACAATACCGCTCACCGCCTGTACAGACAAACTTAAATATTATTCATATTTCCACCGAAAGCTATGAATTTTATATTTGCTGCCAAATTTGAAATATGTGCATGACCTTTTCTGACAAGGTAGTTTTTTAATTGAAGAAAAACTTGTTCAGTAATAACTTTAATAACACATACAAATTGATACAAATTTAATAAAATATCAAATTATTTTGATAAAAAATAGGTCAAATAATGGAAAATGATAAAATATTAAAATGCTTTAGAGTTGCTTTATTATCCAAGAGTCTTCAATTATGACAGGGGACATATTTTATTCAATGCATAAAAACTAATTTTGATTGATATTTCGTTGCTTATAATTTATAAAATATGACCACATTGACAAATATCTATTTTGCGAAAACCGTATTTGCAAATCTTGTTAAATCTTCATATTATTTTCGTGCAACCCAGGAAATATAACATGGCAAAACGATGGCAGACTTATAATTGTCTTAGATGACCCTGTTAAAGTATCTCAGTATATTTCTGATGCATCATTTTGCATTATACTTATAAATGAGAGTTTTAAAACTGACTATTTTTATAAAATCATATCCTGGTGTGTTTATCAAATTAGCAATTAAGTTTATCATTTAGATATGATACATGTGGGTCTGTTTTGCTCGTAGAAATGTGTGAATTAGTTTTCGTTGTGAGTGTGAACGAATGAGAGCCCTCTTGCAAGAAGACATACTTTGTGAGGATACTGAACCTAGTGTCTCAACCCTGGCATTAATTCCGCTACATTGAATTAATACTTACACGAATGATGATGGCAGGAAGTGGCGCCTTTGTTTTTATGTGAACGTATGACAAAACATCTGGTATATAGCCATCATGAACGGAGAACTGTGATAGTCTGTAAATATCACCAAACATACTATTAAACTACAATAACATAACAAAATTTATTTGGTCAATGAATCCAGTGGTTTCGTCGTCCTTAATTTGCCACCTAACATGATTATCTCCCTTCCTTAGTGTCCTTGTGTAAATGACTTCTTCGCGATAAAAATGACATTTATTTTGTAAACGTTTGCCAAATCTAAGATAAAGAAAATTTTTTATCTTTATGAAGTACTGATAGAAAATACCCATTTTTCATTCCAAGCTGCACTAAGATACCTCACCTGCCTGAAGACAAAAATGTGTTATTGGCGTTTCCAAGAGCCACCATTGCAACACCAATAGGAATAATGAACGCTGCTTTTCCAAGAGCTTTTCGGCCCCATAACTGAAAAGAAAACAGAGATCATTGGCAACGTTAATTATTCAAATTATTTCATACTAATATTGAGAAATGATACATAATTTCAAACCACTATCAATATTATAAAAATACGTACTTTGTAAAATCGAATAATTTCTTTTTGATTTGTACTATGTTGAATAATTGTACTAAGGGAATATTACATGTACTTACAACACCAAAAGAATGAGCTCCCGACATTTCCTCCTCCGTAAGCACAGTGAAGTATGACATCACAGAGAGTAGGTAAATGAGCATAACGGTGGGTATGACGATTTTCACCAGTCTTGGAAGGTTTCTGTGAGAAACAAATACAATTAGAATTGCACGGATATTCATGGTTTCTTGACCACAGCAAATCCTCCATAAGCCAGTCACATTAATCCCTAGTAGGTTGCTATTTACAAATGTTGGATTTTACATGTTATCATGTATTCTTTCAATTTGAAGGTTTTCATATGGATTTTAATAAACAGTGACTGGATTAAGAGGACCTGCTGTATTTCATTAACCATATAGCTGGAAACAAGTGTTTACCGACAAAGGTAGGAAATAGTCGATCTACACTGTTTTTGATCCTGCTATATGACAGATGTGGAGGGCCCTACCTTTCACGAAAACCCGATTCCAAAACGGCCGTATGTCTTTTAAAACACGTATAATAATACAATACAAGTCCAATATAAAAATGTGGACACGTCACGCCGCATTCTCGAAAGCTGTGGGCTTGAAAATGAATGTGAGGGATTCCGTGATACTCACTTCGGGGGTTTTCTGACAGCAGCTGTGACGTTGGGTACATAGGCCCTGAAAACACACAAAGATTGACTTATCTAAGGCTCCTGTCATATGATTCGCCGTTACTAGGCAAACAGACAGAGGGGGAAGAGGGGTGAAGTAAAACTCAGACCTACCAGCCGCCGTATGCCCACAGACAATTGTAGATCCCAATGATGATCTTGCTATGGTCGGTTTCCGTGTTTTCGAATCCTTCCTGTAAACCAGCTGTTTCCCCTGTAGAAAATGCGGAGATAGTTACGTAGCTGTATATCATTTCCATACACGCACCCAAACAATGTAATCGATTTCAAAGAAAACAACCGATTCCTCGAATAACGCATATAATTGATAAATTGAAGTAGAATAATTTAAAAAAACGGATACAGAATTAACAGTTAAACTTTCTTTGGGTAACCCATCAAACACTTGTTGTTAATATCTTATTAGTTCCGTTGTTCTCGTTACATTCAGAAATAAACTGCCATTTTGAAAATTTAAGCAAAGTAAGTTAAGAAAATTGGCGGATACCATAAATATGAAAAATAAAGATCTCAAAAAGAACAAAGAAATTAAAATGGCGTAGCCGTTCTTGACATCTCATTTCAGATCTTCTTGGAGAATTATTCACCATAGTTTTAAGTCAATTACAATAGCATACCTTCTCCCAAATTGTATATGCCAGTAACGATGATAATGCCTATGGTGACGACCTTGCCGAGATTTGCTAGTGACTGGATTTGCCGGGCCAAACGGAGGCTGTAGGTGTTTAGGATGGCTAAACTCACTGAAACACATATGCCAAATCATTTAGTGAGCTTTCAACGTTAAAAAGAAATATTATTACTGTATTTAACGGTATGTAATACCTACAACAGGACACACATATGAATTACTTACATATAATGGTTACCGTCAACATTTGTTCCAGCAATTTCGGCGGGCCACAGTTGTCAACGATGGCGTCTGCTATGTAGTGAGAAAATGCTAGGGCGAACACGGCGGTAGTGATGGGCTCGGCTACAGCAATCCTCATCCATGTGTAGACGAAGGATGGCATTGGCCCAAACGCTTTGTGAATGTATCCGTACTCACATCCGTCCCGCTTCACAAAGATTTGCATCTCAGCAAAGCACAAGGCAGCTGTCAATATAGCGAAAAGATCATTTAACAATAAGATTAGTGTTTCCATAAAATATCTCTTTTCTTTCTCTGACATTTTTCAAAACTTATTCCTTTACTTATTATGTGCAAATTGTTACTTTTAACTGTGCGTGTGTGTGTGTTTTTTCAGTTTGTTTGATTTTTTTTTTTTGTGGGGGTGTTAATCTATTTCCGCTTAAAATTGCTTTTCATAACAAAACACAATTATCTTTATTATGTATAAATGACAAAATAGTGTATCCAGCGTAAATATGTTATGTCAGCATAATCACAGTTTGGAACGACCAAAACGTTTTCAAAAATAAAACTGACAAAATTATACAGTAGCGTGTTTTAGTTATCAGAATAAATACCTCCAAACGCATTCATCACCATACTTAAAAACAAATACTGGATCAATATAACAAGAAATTTTTTATTAAATTAACCTTCAAATTTCACTGTTACCTAGATCATAAAGAATTGTTTATCGAAGGGAAAAAAAGGAAAAAACGGAACATCGTGACCCGATTCGACGTAATCTGTTTTACCTTTTAACCAACAGTCCTCGTTGACGGAGGAATTACTCACGACACGTTTGGATTTAGAATACCGTGTGTCGCAATGTCAAATTAATGTGTTTGTTTAAGGTGTTGTCCTATCTTATATAGAAGCATATTTGATTTTGTCAAAGTCATCACTCATTTTAAAGGACATCAAAGTTCTTAAGGTTTTATTATCGCGGTGTTAAGGCGAGGAATGAGGAAATCATAAGCAATGCAGAATTATTTTGCTTCATCTTAATTGTCGTTAAATTGTTTGTCAGGTATATATTTCCGTCTTTTTAAGCAGTTAAAGTTGCCAAGTTTAACAAAGATGAAACTATTAAAGATAGTAGAGACGAAAATATTTATAATTTTTGAGTAAAAGAAAACCTAAAGAAGTCAATGACATGATATCTGTACAAGCACAGCAAGTAAACTTGGTAATCTTTATTGTATATTTCGACAAAAATCAGGAATTAATACACACTGACAAACAGTTACTGTAGAATTATTAGTTTTCGTTGGAGATCTTTTTTTAATTCATGGATGCTCTAAATCCGTGAATTTATGTGTTCACGAAATGCTAAACAGATAAAAGTTGACATGGATTAAAGCGCTAGTGAATTTCGTGAACAAAGTTTATCCACGAAATCTAGTGCAAACGAAAAGCTATGTATTGAGAAAACCATGAAATTTGAGGCCGATGAAATCATACGAGTTTACAGTATATGTTATCCAAATAAAAGACAATTAAATGGAAACATTATTGCGTGTCTAAACTTTATAGATTTAATTGTCGTCTCCATGTTTGCTTCATAATTGTCCTGTTGTGTCATCCTATGTGGCGATGTCAGAAAAATCTTGTAAGATAAATGTGAAATAGAACAATGGTGACGTCATAAACAAATAGCATTTTTTATGAAATCAAATGAATTTGTTATAGGAAAATTAATCTCAATGTTTTTTTTCTAGATTTTCGGAATTATGAATTGTACAATAAATAGAATCTTACAGTCGTGTCCATGTAAATTATCAAACAATTTGATGTCATGGACCAATACCATATCAAATTTCGCTGGAGGATTACTTTGCCCAAATTATACAGTAAACCATCAGCAAATACGAAACGAGGCACTCTTGTGCGATCTAAGAAACACTAACTAAACACAAATAATGCAGGTAATTTTTCAAAAGACACATCAACATAGCATTTGATATAAGCTACATATCAAAGGGCTTTTGACAGCTCGAACAAAAACGAAAAAAGTGTTGTTTTGGACTAGAAGTAATTACAACATCTTTATTCATTACACTTTTATAAGATACGCAAAACATGTGTGTCTTGAAAAATGTGTCGTCACTAATAAAACAATTATATCCTAAATTATAGTAGAATGCTATCTTTGGCTGCAATGATTCCAATGAGAACAGGGAACAATTAGTTTTATACTTTAAATCTTTTTAGAAAGTCATACTCCTCATATATCACGACACATTTTCAATTCATTATATAAAAATGATCATGAAAAGTCTGTTACAGGTTGTTCAATACATGATTAAAAATCGAAATGTGCGATTGTACAAGTATTGTGTGATTGAAAGAACATAAACTAAAACAGTGTTTGTTTTAGTTGCCAATGCATTTATCAAGCCTTAAGTATGGAATCGATCTTGTGTTTCACCTTGAAATTTCTGCGTTACCAAGACCAAAATGGATTATCTACAGATGAAAAAAAAGCAGAAACTTGACATGGTTTGGTATAATCCCCTAATTTTACCTTTTCACTAAAGCTCCTGGTCGACATAGGAATTGTTCACGACACGTTTGGTTTTAGAACACTGTGTGTCGCAATGTCAAATTAACGTGTTTGTTTAAGGTGTTGTGTTATCTTTATAGAAACATATTTGGTTTTAAAACTGACAACTGCTCGGTTTTAAGGACTTACTGTATTTTGAGATCCATTAAAAATAAAGTAGAAACCGATGACGACATGATAAGAAAAAAACTAAATTTACATTGAACTAGATAAAACGAACCGGAAAATGCTATATAGTGTAAAGAAGATTTAACACTTGGGAGAATGTTTCTTTCTTGTAGTCTTAATTTCTTGTACGTGGTATTGAGTTTAATTTTGCAGTCTTATCGCTTACATGGTAGAGGTTTTATTCCAGCAGTCATGACAGCATTTAAGGTACATAGGAGATAAAAAGTCAGAAGAAAGCCGAAAAGAATGGAAAACAAAACACAAATTTTGAAATAGATATATTAAGAATTTATCAGATATTGAGAGTCGTTCGAAGTAATCTTTATTACATATGCAAATAACTTTCTGATTAAAATATACTCTGGCTGCAATTATTATGGAAAATACATACCTATCTTCCATTTGAAAATCAAATAGAATTTGAACCAATTTTAAACAATTTATTTATCAACTGTATTTGGTAATTTCAGGTATGATTTTAAAAGCCATATCTTCTAGACTTTTGGTCAAATGACTACATCGTGAAATCATTGGTGAAGTGATCCAATTTTGGTTTATATGCGACATTCCATCATTATAAGAATATTGTTGTTTTTAATGCTACAGAAGAAGGCAGTTTTGGTTAAACTATATCATTTAACAAAAATTCGAAAGTTGTCCAACTAATACTAATTACCCTTGATGGTCCGGGTGGATGAGCGCGACGGGTTTTACTGTGAAATAGGAAACATGAGTATCCTGAAAAAAACTCAGTGGTCGGGCAGACGACCCCTCACCTTTTCATGCCTTCTATATCGATAGTTTGTTTATTTAGAAGCAACGTCATATATACGTAGAATATTCTGTACAAAATTGACGTACTTTCAAATAAGATCCTGTGAATCTGATATCTAGTGATATGTTTTTGTGTAAAGTGATAAAGAAGACTGTTATAAGTAATTTATCTACGATAAAAAAAATAACTTTTTAATAACCAATCCTCATGGAAAGTTTTCCACATTTTGTTAAACAGTAAATCGTTATACCAACAGAACATCGTAATTGTCTCTGAATCAATTTAGTGACGTACCCATGGTAGTGAATATTCCACACAATGCCCATATCACCAAGTTAAGTCCTACAGACCCCGCCGCCTCTGTCACGCCCTTAGGTGAGGTAAAAATCCCGGGACCTACAGAAAGATATAAGTATATTTATAGAAACAAAACATACAATTCAAATTTCAACAAAAATTAAATTACCACAGCATTCGACATGTAAACTAAATTACTTAACGATGATTAGAGAAGAAAACAAATGGATCAAAACAATGACATAACAAAACAATGAAGATGATATAAAATCGTCTTCATTTAGACTATACAACATCTGGGGCTATACAGTTATAGGATTTTCCATTCAAATTATCATTATGAAAATCAAACTTAATATAACAAAATTCATATCAATTTGCACTCATTGCACAATGATAAATTCACGTAATAACTGTCAAAGACAACAAACAAAAATTTAAAACAAACAAGTGATACTGAGTCATTTATTCCTAATATTTGTTGATAAAGAAATACGTAAATATGTGCTAGTATCAATGCAATTTTTGTACTGACGTCATAAACCGAAGTTGACATGTGATAATGATGTTCATGTCCGGACATGATTTCATTATCCTGGTAAGGAAATATTATCAAAAAAGTTAATTTAAAAGAAAATGATATGCCATTAATTATAAAAATGAACTTGACATTCTCCTAAAAGGACCTCTTTCAGGTAAAATAGAATTTTGCAAAGCCACCAAATTAGATAAAAGTGGGTGACTACCCAGGAAATAGGATTGAAGAATTCAAAATGTCCATAGGGCATGTGCTACGACCTATATAGCGTCGTAACAATAGTGTCAAACTGATCCTTGCTAATCAAACAGTATACGTAATGTACACTGTGGTTTTAATACTTTTTCAATGAAAAACAGAACCCTGTCATACTCCTATGGTTATGACATTAAATGGGCTGTAATACAGGCCTTATGGACCTTTTGCATTTTTAAATCCTTATGTATGGACAACAAAAAACTTCATTGGAAGATAAAGCTGGGAATTCCATGTTTACTTAAATTCATTCTATTCTTTTATAAAATTGCTTTTTGATTTAAAGACATCATCAGTATCAAACTCAAATGATATAACTCGATTATGCTTTATTCACGTGTGTATGTGCTGTTGAATGAAGTAAGGTAAGTATTGTGTAATGTCGTTGCCGTCACTAAACAGTTGTTCCTGTAGGCCTCACGATATCTCCATTTCTCTATTTAAACAATGACAATTTTTATGGAATTTGCTTTATCGAATATCATATGATGTCAATATTGACATTTTGATAGTGTGCCTTGCTTTGGCTGTGTTATATATCTCCGCTATTTTGAGAAAACATAGGATTGACAATATTTCCGCAACGTTCCCTTCATGTAGAAACAAATTTAATGAACTAAAGAATGCTACATTACCTCGCAAAGAGAGAATAGATAAGTTGCCTTACTACATTGAATAACAGTTGTACAACATAATGATGAAAAAATTGAAAAAAGCGACCTGTGAACATTTTTATAACGGTGGGACAGTTTGCACCTACTATCTCTTTGTGGGTCGTGACACTTGTAGTATCTTAAAAGCTTATCATCAAAATACTAGAAAGATATGACATTATCCTATTGTCTTTATTCTGGACAAAGATCACAGGTCATATGACAACAAAAACAAAGGAAACCATGTGATCAAGTGTTAATATTTTCCCACGTAAAACATATCTGATAGATAAGTGCACTATATTGAAATATATACTGACTATTGACAAATGTGTAATAGGTAACCGATTGATTAGGACATATATATCAACATGTTAACATTCTAAACCAGAAAAAAATAATAAAATGATATATATATGTATTATATATATAAATTGTTGAATATATATGTTATAATGTATAATTAGTAATATTCGCGGGAAATTTGATTTCGCTCCTTTCGCAATCATTACAGACAGCACGAAATTAAATACTTCGCAAACATTTTAACCGTGGTTCAAATCTTGAGAAAATCTATGTTCAATGCCTCTATACCAAGCTCAATGCGAGAACTTTAATCAAGTGAAATTGCCAAATTCGAGACGAAATCACGAAATATCAGTCCCGCAAAATTAAACAACTATATATAATAGCTTTTGGTGGTTCGAATATTTAGAGTTTCTTCCAACATTTTGAAGCAAGACGGACAAGAAATCTTTAATTCCTTTTATGATTTGTTCACGATTTTATTCCATGCTTCATAGCAATTATGAGAACCTGGGAATCTCTGTATTTAAAATGATAAATATAACCACTACAAGGTGTAAAGCGATATTGAAGAAAATCCTCCAGTTGTATTGTTTGTGTCCTTCACTCACCAATAACTGTTTGCATGATGAGCGAGCCGCCAAAGAGGATGCCGACCTCTTTTGATCGGTTACTCTTTTTCTTTGGTTGTTTAGTTTCCTCGCGGTATACACCACGTGACTGTGTCGTCACCCATACTGATACGTCATAGAGGTCCGTCTGACCGGATGTATGTTTCCCGTGCCCGCTGTTGTTGAAACGCTTTCTCGCTGTAACAAACAGTATTCAAGCAAGAGTTTTAGTAATATCAAAGTCAGTTTTTCTTTCTTTATTTTTAAGTCTGGTTTGTAATTCATTCAACAAATTTAAACAAGAAGACACACACAAAGAAAATACCGACATTTAAACAGAATCTAAATCCAAATTCAAACCTAAATTTGATAAAACTAGCGCAAAACACGATAAAGAGAAATATTTACATGGGAACTTCTAAAAAAGTTAAAAGAGAATAACGTCAAGTGTTGCAAAAGAATAAACGTCTATTGCTTGCTCAACGACCCGCAATGTAGTTCTTGGTCAATCCAGATATGTAATATGAAGTTCCCAAAGTGAGAACACGGTAGACAAAAATTGAGCCACTAAGCATATTAATCGCATATTGTGCTATTAAAATAATAATTTCTAATGAGATGGTCATAAAGATGTTAATATCTATCTCCTCATTAAACAGTCAGGATACTGAAATATACACACGTGGTCATGTCTATTACAATGAATTGTTTTGGCGACATGCGAGGGAACTTCACGTGTTTGTCGTACGCAAACAAGAAGATAGCCAGATAAGAGCCGCGTTTTATGAATAAAACTACAAACTTATACAGAGACTTTGACTTGATGCCCGTGGTTATGCTCCCATACCAGTCAATAAACGTTATATTCAAATGCTAATTTTCTAAACAATGAGAAAAATATTGTTGCACTCGTTCGATCTATTTATAAAGCTCCATATTAAAATCAATTACAATTTGACAATTCATACAATAGAAATGTTTAAATATACGTTATGACGATTTAATTTTTGGGAAAAAGACAAAAAATCTCATGATTGATTTTGATTTGTGGTACAATCATTTAACGTTATATGTCCAGTGGAGACAAGACGTGATACTGGATTAAGTAATAACCACATCTCAATACACACACACACACACACACACACACACACACACACACACACATATATATATATATATATATATATATATATATATTAAGGCGTTATGCTGTTTTTTAGTTGTTCAAGTACAAGTAACTTTAACTATATAAAATGACATCCATGCTCACAAATAGAATACCCTTTAGCGCGGTAACACATTTATCATTTTCCAGTAAAGGTCAGTGCAGTATACATGTTTGTTTCGAGTGGTTCTCAGATAACGTTTTGAGTTTTGCGAAGCATACAGTAAACCTCATAGTTCTTCTGTTATCTTTTATCATTTTAAATAAGTTTTGATAATGTTGTTGGAAATGGTAGCACGTGGGTTTGGGGATTTTCCATCACGCCCCGATAAATTACATCCGGTGTATGTTCTTCATTAAAAAAAAACGATTGTTCACATGTACTTTAAACGTTAAAGTTCTTAATATGAAAGGTAAAATTGAAGCCCTCTTGTATTTTATTATTATAATAGTCAGTACAAGCACGGCTATTGACTTTTTGCTTTAAAATGAGCATAACACAAACTGCTGTGTCCTTATCAGGTATGCATGTGTTGTCTTTTCTCTTTCAACATAAAGACCTTTGTAATACAGGTAAAAAGTACATTCACACTGAATATGAACGTACCGGAACAATACATTGCTTACAAAAATATGGATATGCTTATCGAAGGATTCTTATGAGCGCATTATGTAAAAAAAATAATGATGCTATATAAATCTACTTTTTCATATTTATCTGAAAACGTTTGCCTGTCCTTATAACAAGTGATTAAATTGACCTATCTGTTCCCCATTTGATCAATTTTATTTCACTTTTGTTATCGATTTACTTAATGCCTGTTTAAATCCTGCTAAGTATCATATCCTATCTAAAACGTTATTGAGAATGCAACATTTGTTTTTCAAATATTATTATTACGTTCTAGACTTTTTGATAGGGAGTTGTTTTTTCTTAATCACACACCTCTCATCCCCGCCCTCCAATATAAGTTAATGAATCGATAAATGAATAGATAAATAGATGTAAGTTGACATCACCGTCATCATTAACATAATCGGATTATGTTATATACTAAACTTGTCTTGGAAGAAGTTTTCCCAGTTCTTTCAATCCCTTGTTAAAGAACCTTAAACAATATCTCGTGACATCCTGATTAATCAATATATCGTATATTTCCGGTATATGTGTTATTCTGCTGATCCTGAAAAAATAGTGTCAAGTCAGAGTGAAAAGTGGCTAATTATTTTGATGTCTTATCTTAAGATACTCTAATTACTCGAAAGTAAGAAACAGTTTTTAAATAGTGTAGAAATGCAGGATTATTTATTTAAGAAATTACAGGCTTATTTTCATGATAGACTTTTTTCTTTTGGTCATTTACTGTACATTGAAGATGCGCTACATGATTGTCCTCTCGCAGCTCAATTCATTAGCACACTGACCTACATATCAAAGGTATTTTTTCTCAAAATAATACGTACCATCCAAGTTCTACTTACAGTCAGTTATTTCTAATGGTTCTTTAGTCACATCTTTTGTGCTTCTACTTTCATTTCATTTAAGGAAACATCAATCTAAGAAGATCATGTCTACAAAGCCGCTACTTGAAAATTTGACAAAGGTGGGCACAAAACAAAAATACATTAGGAAACTGAAACGTGAATAAGACCTTGGGAAAGGAAAACAATATTTTTCACCTTCATCAAAACCTTGCAAATCAAAATAAATCAATGTGCAGTTCTAAAATCAAGAAGTGCCATAAAACCCTCTCATATTTAGAAGTAGAAGTATCGAATAAATCTAATAAAGTAAGTACGAAAATATATTTTTCTGTAACCTTCATCAATCGGAGACCAATACACACAAGACAATACGATTTTTCGCAATGAGATAATAATGACTTTGGGAATGGTCTATCATTTTTATCAATCGGTGACAACTACAGTGGGAACATATCTAACAGTTGATCTCACCTGATAGAGCTACTATAGTTATTATGATTGAGGCTATTACGATGTAGACATACTTAATCTTTGTAGTATTACTTGGAGAGAAATCCTGGTCGTTTGCCCCTTGTGCTTTATCAGAAAACCCTTGTTTCCTATGTTGCTGATTTTTGTTTAAGTCTGAGCTTCAATTATGTTTCTGTTGGTGTGTTGGTATTTTCACTGTTGTTTCAAAAGTCGATACAAAATGATTGCCTCTTTGCCATTTTGAGATGCAAAAGAAGTTTTTACTCTTGATATTATGAAGAATTAAGGAAAACAATCGATGGAACATTTCTGGTCTTCATACTACCAGTATCGGCGTTGTTGTTAAGGATAAAAAATAGCATGTTACGCTTTCATCAAAAACTGTGCATATTTTAACCTAATTAATATGAAATACGATATTGACCACTAACTAAGTAGATAATCTTAAATAATATTGAAATAGCGCTTTCAATGAATTGATAAAGCAAAATTCATTTGAAAAGTCAATTCTTCATGATGTAACTCCTGTCAAAAGAGACAATAATTTATTTTTAGAAGCTATATACAGTTTCTGTAACGCCTTGATTCCATCATTTATTAATCACCTCCTTAAGCTCTAATGAAAGTACTAGTATGAAACATGTATATCTTACCTGCATATCGGCTCATTGTTCAGCTTGTCTTCTCAGTCGGATAATCTTAATAATAATGATTCGCGGTAAGCACGTGACTGAAGTAGTAGATCTGGCCCGACGCTGTTATCGCTAGTCGGGGCCGATCTGTTTATCTTTATCTCAAGTCATCGGGACATTTTCGCCAAACTTAGACAACACATTGACAAATTTAGAAACAATTCATGTCTGATAATTATAGAATTAAATATAAAAAGTACGAAAGAAAAGTTCTAACGATTTTTTTTGAAGATAATTTTAATGTTTTAAAAATTATATAATAATGTCTTGTAATGCTGTGTTTATTGGTTATCCAGGTGAATCCCCGTATCTGTCCTTCCATATCAATATTGCTGTTATCTCTTCAGCCAAAGGTAAGGAAATATGAAGATACCGCTGGGAGATAATATAGTTTTGTGTTCTCAATATTGTTTACAGTCATTCTGCGAAGTTGTATTTACGAGTGATATACTGGCACTTTAATGGCTAATATATATATTCTAGTTTGTGACGAATTTCATAAATACCATATGAAAAGGACACAAATGCAAAACAAAAAACAAAAAAACAAAAAACAAAACAAAACAAAAAACACACACAAAAAAAAAACAAAACAAACAAACGAACAAAAACATAAACAACAAAAACAAATTTGCATAATTTTAATTTCTTCGGTAACGTCTATTATAGCGGCTTTTGGTAATAACACATGTGTGTATAAGCAGAAATATAGGAAATGGGTGTAATTACACTGCAAACAGAGAAGTTGTATGACAAAAAAGGCAACACTACTTTGTTGTAATTAATTAACTGTTCCCTTCGTAAACCTCTATGAATGAAGTAATCCACTAGATCAGATAAAACTGCTGTTTTGCTTATTTGCCTGGTTTGATTTGACGAAAAAGGACAATGGAGGTTAATCTTAAGTGTAGCACCAAAAGCAACGAGTTTAACTACCGTATGCGAGATAAACGGTTTGGCAGCTTCGTCATATTGAATTCGGAAACTGACGGATATTTCGAGGACAGAAGTCGGTCAAATGATGGTTCAGGACCAGCAAGTTTGACGACCGTTTTAGAGGTTCACTCATGAGTTGACCAAGAACTTCCAAAATATTTTCAGTTGGAAATAAGTTTGGTGATGTCGATAGCAAAGAAATAAATCTAGCGCATTTCGATATATCTAGAAAACTACAATTTTTTAATTCACCAATATTTCAGTAATGGAAATGAACATCATGTTAAGAAGTTTCAGAGTAAATGATCTGTTTTTACAATTATCGAATAAGGTGGATATTTATTGCTTGACATTATGATTTCATCAAGACATGTTCATTTCCTTGTGCAATAGGAAGTTGGACACTTCTTATTATGACAACCGTAAATGCTTGGTGTTTGTTAGTATGACTGGTGGTTCCATTGATTTTACTTTTCTCTCATTTGGGAACGTGACATTGCTTCAAGCAATGAATTGTACTTTTTCGTTAGTTTCTTTTGTTCATATTTTGACGTAGATTGATGGAATTTAAGTTTAAATTCAGCTTATGTTGATATGTGGTTATTTTGTTTGATATTTCATCTACTGTATCAATGTTAATGAAATTCAGTCTGCAAAAGATTGAATTATTTCTAAGAATGCTCTATTTCTACCAGGGATTTTCAAACTATTCATTTTTGTTTTTAAGATGATCTTATTAATCCGTATGTACATTTATTAAACGTCATTAATCACCGTTTCTATGTTGTATTTTCTTAGTAGAATATCGGCGTATTTTGATATAAGAATCTAGGTCGTGATTTATGTTTTATTCTTTTCCAATATATGCTTCACATCGAGACATTAACCAACAATAAAAATCTGTGCTATTGCATGTTTACTTCCAGTAGTATATTCATTTTGAAACAAAATACTACACCGTTTGCTATTTTGAAGAGGATTTTTATTTTTAAAGGATGAAATATAATCACTATAATAGATAGCGAGAAAGAAATACATTATTGAAAGTTTTTTTGTCCAAGCATTTGTTAATACCCGAAAAATAGTCCTTCAAAAATGTCGGGACTTGTACATATCCCAATAACATTTTGATTATTATTCCAATGCATTCTGATTCCTCTCCGTCGCCTCCAAGGTTTGAAAATTTAGACTTTTAGCATCACTGTCCATGAAGATCGAAACAACTGCATGATTTGGTTTAAGTTGGTTTTTGCTCTAGAATAGAACACATACTTTATATCAATAAGGGTTACTCTGTTGTCTTTTGTACAAACCTTTACATTTATGACCACAGTTTAATGCAAAAGTCAATAAAATGGGCTTTTATTTCAATCCAATGAATCATCTTCTTACGAAACAGTAGCAGATTAAGGGAATAGACATGACAATAGCTCTGAATTCATAATAATTGTCTTCATAATCAGATAAGTCAAGGCTGATGAAGAAATCCGACGCTCAGTAAATATTGACTTCTCCAAATTGCTGATACTGAATAAACAACGTAGTGATACGGACAGGTAGGGTGATACACTACATACGCACAGACAAGTTAGATAACAAGGATATTTATGATATTTGATATGGAATTTGAATTATTTCTAATTGTTTGAAATTGTCTAGGTAGATATACATTAACATGCGTGGAATAATTGTTACGTCATAATAGTAAATAAATGAGTTATAGTAACAGATTAGATAAGGATAACAGATTGATTCATAGAATATTAATAAACTATTAGGGCATGCTTTCATTTCTGATTAACTCAATAATTATTAAATAATTAACAAAATCTTTGCGAATTTTATTTATTTATTTTATTTTTTTTTTTTTGTGTGTAATTAGCACAATGATGAACTCACGCTATCAGTAATTATTGCTATATGTAAACGACAATTAGCGCTTATATATTTGCTGCGCGAAAAACGCTAAATAAAATCATCACTGAAATAACTATGATTACGCAACTAAATTAACAACAAGAATCAAGAAAATAGGAACAACAAAATCGGAAATGAAATAAAAAGTAATGTACAAAAAGAACAAAAACATGTTTCGGAAGAGCATCTACTGCTTCATTAACAACGACAGACATGTAATTCTAATGCCAAATTATTGTGTTATCTGTCTCCGTATCCGATATCCAGTTCACATGTGTATGTGGCTATACAGGAAAACATGTATTTGACCGATTTTTGGTTCAGATAGGTCAGAAACAAGATCCCGTAATTATAAAATAAACAAAGGATGCCCCACCCGTACGTTTTGACTCCTAAATCCAGGTAAATACTGTTTGTTTTAGAATCAGCTTATCAAAATTTCTAAATACACACACTACTTATTTACAAGACCGGTCATTAGTACTGACACAAAGGGAAAATTTGATAAAGAAATAGAAAGTAAAATTCTGTCTTGATACTAATATCTGTCTGGCGTACGAGGTCACTGTCGGGTCAGTTCACTAGTCGTCTTCTGATTGGTTTTTCAAGACACACAACCATAAAACTGGATAAGTCGCTAGTCAACATGGGCGAGTAGTATGTTTATATAGTCATGATATGGACACCCACTCAATATACTTTGAAATGAAATTATCTGTCAAGACAAAAAGGAAGATTGATACTAATATGTATTTTTCACTATCCATTCAAGTAAGGATGACGTTTAAGATTTACAATACTATTATACGAACAAAATAATACTTTTCATATCTTGGCCTGATTATCCAAGATAAAATATATGAATATCAAATTATATTGTATTTTGAACTAAAATAATCTGCATTATTCAATTTTTGTTAAGGAAAAAATGAAACATGCTACAATGTGCATTTTGCCCTGTTATCATCAAAACTGAATATGAAATAAGATGCAGTTGGAAAGTCGGTGTCTTGGTTGTATTTATCGAATAAGTAAACGCAGAATTGACATCTAAGTTGCATATGATAAAGATGTCCTCTATTAGTGATCATTATTTCATTTACCTATCGATCTTTATAGCTCAAATCATTATAAGAATTTGAAGATCGTAAAGATTGTGCATAAGACACACGAGTGAATAGCATTTTTCATTAAAAAATAGAATAAGATACATAAGGGAAAACAATGAATTAAACTGTTATACAGCTGTTTCGTCCTTCTAGGGCTCGTCAGTGATGCTAGGGGCTTCAGAAGCCTGAAAGTCGACTAAATAAAACCAAATGATCGAACGAATAGTCAAAATCTGAAATGGAAGGTGCACTAGCCCCATAATTTGACAATTTTAGAATAATGCCAAGTTCATGCATATTTTGTGAACCGTGCCACTATTCGAATGAAATAAAACGTGGGATGAAGGTTACGGCGAATCATGAGGACCATCATTAATGTCTACCACTGTAATTTAAAAGATTGTACAAAAGACTGAAATATCTTTTCACCATTATCTGTCTTGACAACGAATAGTATGTGGTTTAGTAAGGTTATCAGATATGATTCAATATATACTGCACAAATATTATGAATGCAATCCTTCTGAAATTTATGAATGAAGCAGTATTGGCTTCGTTCCTCTCACTGTAGCTTACATTTTTAAAAACATCCCTCGCTGGAGCCACTGTTACATGCAAAAATGCTAATTTTGTGTATCTGATAAATCCAAAATGTACATAAACTAAATTTTGTTTTCAGTCCTGATGACGTGAAGGTGATTATCATTTCAACAAGTCAGAAAGGCAATTGGAAGGGGTGAGTGGGGAACTAAAGCCAAATACCAGTAATTAAATGATATATACAAGTAAATGAACTGTAGGGTTTAAAAATGATTCAGCATTGTTATAATGAAATCGGTGGAATTATGAAAAGCTATCCCTTGTTTAATAATAAAATGAATAAACATGTAGCAATAACACTGACACCCCTGAAAATAGCACAATTGATTGTATTATCATGTGTTACGGAATAGTAAGAATCTCCTGCTTTATCAGCGACATCAGTCAAATTTAAGTATATCCAAGTAAGTAATGT